GTACATACGCTTATCAGAAAGCAAACAGTTAAGATTTTGCACATTTAATTCATGTGCATGTGTCATAGGGATATATATCTAAATACCCACAGAGAAAGAAATGTCTAAATCATTTAGCATGTTTAGAGCTGGTCTAGCCATAAAACTTTTGAAATCCGAAAAAAAGTGTGGACACACCTGAGATAAAGATTAAAACTTGATAGTATGTGCATAAATTAAAATACAAAATTTCAAGTGTCACCCTTGCTCTTTCATTGGAGTGCCGACAGGCCTAGCAGGATGTGTAAGAATCGTCAACAAAAGTTTATTAAAAAAAATACCTTCAGACCACAAAAACAACAATATAGCACAACGTCAAGTCATTGACTGTTGTTTAGGCTGTTTATAGAGTCGTAGACCAAAAAATTCAAGTGTATTTCAAATCCTAGTTGACAGATGTGACCTTTCAAAATAAAATTTAAAAGGACACCTATCTTATCATTTTTTACGACTAAATGCGTCCAATTTCAGCCTCGTGTCACTAGGAGAGTAGTCAATAAATTAACATGTCTTCCATCCTTCTCAACTTTCACAATTTTTTACCATACATTTAACTTGCTCAATGCTTCTGATGATAAAACGGGGTTCTGTCTTACACAACACACATCCAATATAAGATAAGGTTTAGCCATATGTACCAATTACCAATCATCCTCTAATAAGGAACTCAGTAGAAAGTAATTTGGACAAATTGATTTGGGTTTCAGATTTCAAACAATTCTTAAACAAAACATAGTTTTTAGAAGTTTTAGTCCCAAAACTGCACACTAAAATAACAAATCTCCATAAAAGTGACCATTTTTCTGCATTGGTAAAGTTTTAGGAAAACATGGGTAAAAAATAAATTATGGAGTACATGTATCTTCAGTGGCCAAGGAGACCTGCAAATATTTTGCCACAATCTTTTAAAAGCTGTTAAATAAGAAAAGTATGAATATATTTAAGATTGTCCAATGAAATATGGGGCTTAGATCTCAACTGCCTATTTTTTTGCATATCATCTTAGTTTTGTCTGTCACCTTGGTTGAAATAGATGGGGACCACTGAGTTTCCCTTCAAAAGCATCTGCTTTGCGTGTTATTCAGATCAGCTTGACAAGAGGAAGTGTTCCGATCTTTTTTTTTTATTTTCTCTCTCCGTAATTCCAATTCAATGGGTGCATTTAAAACCATGTTAGCATGATCTGTGTGCTTCACTGGGTATAAACACATATTATGTGTAGATTGAGGATGTTCAAGACTGTCTCTCCGCCATGTCTTAAATCACAGCTATATTGAAAAGGAACACAGTTTGTGTTTAATTACTCTGTATTGAAAAGGAATAGAGACTGCATGCATGTACACAAAACAGATGTACAATTTATAAACTTTAAAACTTATTTTTTGAGAATTCAGTGAAAATAAAGCCTAATCTTCCACATACCAGTTTAGGTGAATTCTGTTAAAATATTTATCTACTTAGGATACTGGGTATGACATCAATGGTTTAACTACATGGAAGGTAAAAACAGGTACTCTCTGTGGTAGGATTGTAATAACTAAGGTTATATGGAACAATTCACACAGACTTAATTCAATTGTAGTTTAGATTCAATCGTACATATATGCAAGTGTAAACAGTCATTGATGCACAAAAAAATGGAGGGGGGGGGGGGATGGAACATGCTTTTTGAACCAAGGTCCAAGACCAAAAAGTTAAGACTATACCTTATATTCAGGATTTGATCATTAAATATGTGGAATCTTTTCTAAAAATGACTATGTAATATATTCCGATCATAATGACCATTCACCAAGAGTTCGTGACCAACCAATATATAACATTTCACAGTCTTTTTAATTTCATGTTATCTTGCAAAATCAAAAGTACTTAAAGTAACTTAAAGCATTAAGCTTAATTGGTAGTCTCCATTAGGGAGCCATTGATGTTCAATAAAGATATCTTTCTCCAAATAAGGGATAATTGATTAAGTTAAATCATTCAATGTTGTACATACAATTTCTTAAACAATTTTAACTTCTTTCTTTAATTCTTTATTATAAACTATATTTTTGCACTGCTGCTTTAATAGCCCTTGCAACATCAGTAAATCAGAGATATGCTAGAACAGTTGAACTTGGGTATCTCAAACTTTTTTATTTCGAATACCAATTAAGAAAATACACATGTACCCACAAGAACATTTTCTTAATGAATTTAACCCTCAACATCTCAAAGACTCAGGTATCTAGAAGTTTTTCTCAGTCCCATCAACTATGATATAACAAAGTTTGATTGTATATATTATATAGTACTAAGACTACTATGAAAAAAAAGAAGACTTTTATAATTGGGCCCAAAGGTTACAATTACCGGTATACCAAAATGCGAAACTAACAATTAGAAATCCACCTGGTGACCAAAAGCCTACAGCTATACTTATTGTGCTTTAAAAAGATTTTGCAGGATATCATTGTTATTCTAACTGGACATCTCTAGTAACCCGATATATAGGAATATATTACATATTATATAATTCAACATTTCTTTTTTTTAATTTGAAAGTTCCTCATGATGTCAGTATTCTATACACCTGAGATTGACTGTAGAATTGTGAGGATATCATTTTCAAACACTTTCTCTTCTCTTTGTGAAATCAATGAGAACGCTCCTCTTCATTTTTTTAATTAAATGATGCTATGTCATCATGAGTTAACTTCTTACTTTAAAACGGTGATAAATGCAAGCTGAAAGCATATCAAAGGAGGTATTCATCTTGAAATAATCCTTTTAAAATAAGCCAAAGAATAGTATAAAGGCCATTATGGTGTACACATAGTATGTATGGATACAGAAGGTAACTGAAATATAAAAGACCATAACTCCCTCCCGGTGGACTCTCAGAGAGGCATATTTTTGAAATTTACACTCTGCATTTTTGAAACTCTAGTTGTTACCTGTTTAATTATTCCATCCTGTAACCTTGACATTTTTTCCAAATGACCTTAATGACTGTTCATATGCAACCTTGGTATGAACTATGAAGTACATGCATCTATACAGATAATACTGCTTTAGATTTCATAACTGATCTGTTGCATGGAAAGGAATTAAAGACAGGCATAAACATATTTTGGATTTTGTGACCTTGACCTTTTCCAATTGACTTTAACTTACAACCTTTCATTGGCAACTTCTGTAATTTACTACTGCTTTAGTTTCTATCACAGATCTATTGCCTGGAAACAGAAAAGAAGAGATATCAAAAACTTTAGAGATATATAGAAATTCAATAATTATACATCTTTCTCTCTATAAGGAGGAATGGAGAGTTCTTTAAGTGAACAAGTTCCTCTTTATTAGTTTACTTTTCCTTCAGTTTAATCACAGTATCATTTTCTTGAAAGGAAATTTTAAACTATTTTTTTAGTGAATGTTTTTATTTGTTTATTCATTCCTTTTTCACAGCTTGCCACTTCTTTTTTTATTACAAACAGACTCAGGAGCTCCTTGAATTTCAGATTTTGCGTGCCTATAATTAATAATCGTGGGAAAGTGAAACTTTACACACATGCAAAAAAATATTGGCCAATTTGCAGCAAGCACTGAGACATTAGCCAGAATGACAACCTTATCATTACACGTGCAGCCTTTCGAAATGTCAAGAATTTTCACTGACTAAGTCTACATTGCAGAGTCAAAATAGCCCTTTCTTATGTTGCTACCTTACTACGAACCAAGAGCAATTTATTTCGTGAGTGTACAGGTAACATTAATTATTAAGTGTATAGCTATAATCAGAGTCAGTGGTTCACTTAACGTTTTACAATTAAATTTGCATTTTTTTTAATTTTTAAATTTCATAATCATATTTGATTTTTCAGAGATTTATATTACCTGAATGTTGGTATGGGGGAGGGGTTTCTAAAAACTTAAACAAGCGAAAAAATTGGAAATTTCATCATTTTATGAGGAAAATTTTAAAAAATAAGGGATCACATTTCCACGTTATCTCAACGAATGGGAAACGTAGAGCAAATAACAGCATAGTGACATGATGTGCACAGTGAGTGCATTTGACAATCTCCCCACACCTACAGAGCCCTTTTGTCTAAATTACTAAATTTGCCAATGTTATTAAGCTAGGGACATGCATTTTTAGCTACCATTTGAGGTTCTACCTTTATTTTCTCAAATGTTACTCTTTCACAACTGTATTTCTTGTAGTTAATTGCCTCTTCCATTATTTTACTTTTTTTTCTGATAGAAATTCAATGTCATAGACTTTGCGTATTTGTTCCCATAGCTTTTACAGTACATTTTATAGAAATGTAGAATTCGATCCATTACAAAGCCCAGGTCAAACCACACTAAAAAGAAAAGGATGTATGCCTATGACCCTGTCTCCATCAATTCTGATGACTAAACAACATCAAATTCACTACTGAAATACTTCAAACTAGGAATTGGTACTATTGTAAAAATGGCAATCTTGAGAAAACCAAAAATGCTTTGCTTTCAACATGTTTAAGGGAATAATATATAAAGGAATGAGAGGGGATGGGGGGGGGGGGGGGATATCTGACTGACAGTTAATGATTAACTTATTTTTAAGCAAAGTAATGATCATAATCATTACTTATAAGTTATATGATGATAACTACATACTGTATGTAATATGAAATACAGAAATTTGTTCTATTCCATCATTCTGTGTAGCACTGATGATTTCATATTGTTGTCAAGGTCCTTAAATGCTGAGAAATGCTAATGTTTGAACTGTGTACAATGACAGCACTATCTAGTAGAGTACCTGTTTTCAGGTAAGGTTCACAATATTTAAAGGTTAACAATCGGATGTATCAATATTTATGTCACCCCTTTGATAGTGGTTTTGCACTGCTTTTGATATTCATGATCACTTTTTTTTAAATGATGGACAAACCAAACACATATATAGGTCTTTAATAATTTGTACTTACCTTGGAATTAAAAATTAAATCAAGATTAACTAGTCTGTCGTAATGGGGCACATGAAGGGTTTCTCTAAGACTTTTAAGTCTTTTACGTTGGTCATCTTTAATATTTCCTTGGCCGTCCTCATTTGAAGCAACAGGTATCTGCTTCAGGTGTCCTGATGAACGTGTGCCGTATTCACAGTGTCTAACCGACATACTAAAATAAGCGGAAGTTCTTGCGTATCGAAGCGTGTAAACATACCCAGAGAAGAACAAGTACCTGATAAATTGCAAGGTGAGCATGATTACTGACACACAAACATGATGAATTAGCGTAATTATCATTCTGCATATTCCGCTGAACAAGTGTCAATTGTCTGTATTAAAATTGTATGAATATTTAAGGAGAAATTTAAAAAACGCAATCGTTTGCTCACATATTTACACATGCATGTAAAGTTTGTACATTGTTTATAGTCCACAATAGATATAATTATTTCTCTAAATGGCAAATATTGAAAATTATGATACAGAACAATGTCATGTATGCTTCGGAGTTTTATATTTAAATGTTGAGGTTTGAAATTACACAATTTAAAACACCTCTGTCATTGTAATCACTGTATGCGTCGTTTCAAACGAGATTGTTCGAATTGTATTGTTCGTTCCTAAAGTAACGCAAGTTGTACTGGTATGTATTTGAACAAACAGGAGATCCACAAGTCTTGACAGTCATCTGGGTACCTTAGTCCATACATACATTTAACCTTACAGTCAGAGTGTTTCATACTTTCATTTAAACTTAATTTTGGCGTCTAAATTTGAGAAGAATTAACAATATTAATAGTTTTCAATAAAAGGTAAAAAAAAACAAAACAAAAACAAAATACAACCAAACAAACAGACAATAACAGAACACACACAAATAAATAAAAATAAAAACAGAAAATATTTAAAAAAAAAAAAAAAAGAGAAGAAAAACAAACACACACCCCCCAAAAAAACACAAAACAAAACAAAAATAAAACTGTAAACACACGACGGACGTCCACAGACGAGAACCAAAATGTCGTAGGTAAAATGAGTAACTCAGGTGACTTCCATGTATTTTTAAAATGTTTTATTAACAATGTTTTGATAAAACAAATTCACGATTTTTATTATTTTTTTATTTCTTAAGGATGGATGGCTATATATTTGAGGCAGTTGAGGAGACATCAGAAGTAGAACCATGCAACATTGTAATATGTGCTTATACAGCACTAAAAGAAAACATGATATCAAAAGGCATAAACGCACCAGGCATGATATAAACTCACAGACTACTGCTGTTTGTTCTGGAAAAGTGCTATATATAAATATATTTTCGATCAATGTGGGAAAATATACACGTCGCAACAAGGTTTAACGCTGTATAAACTTGGTCCGTTGATTAGGTCATCAAATTGTAAACTTTGAATTGAATGTTGTTGTTTTTTTTGAGACTTGATTTGGAATAAAAATTTTGTCTTGGTGTTTCATTTTATTTGGAATAATTTTGTCTTTTATTTCTTTTCTTGTTCTTCGTTGTGCTGTCATGATCATTTTTCAGAATTGATACCCCATTTCAATGACAGTAGTGTTAAAAAAAATTAATTTTTTCCCCGATTTCACTGAAAGTGGGGGATATTAATTTGGGTCTGTCTGTCAGTCCGTCTGTCCACCTTTCTGTCTGCAATGAAATTTCTCCCTGTGGCCTATGGAAGACCCGGCCCTAGTGAATTTGTTATGTAAAATTTTATTGCAAATACTCAAAGGCTTCTCGAGATATCGCGCGGAAACGAAAGTGTTACAGACAGACAGAAAGACGGACGGACTGACGGACGGACGGACAGGCAAAACCAAATTAATGTCCTCCACTTTCAGTGAAAGCGGGGGACAAAAATAGGTATTGGAATTCACTTGTACCTCAATACATGATAGAAATTTATCCGCCGATGAAGTCATTTATTTTTTTAATTGTAAGATAAACCCTGTACTAAGTTCATTAGTTATAAATTTATTATAGACGTTATAAAGAGTTCAAATTATGACAAAATTTTTATATTATTATATTACGTGTCACGTAGGCATATTTCATGAAGCGCGCTAGCGCTTCATGCATGAAAAATATGCCTACGTGCAAGTCTGTGTGATTTACACACCAATAATTCACACTAAACTTAAAAATATTCCTTATATTTACATTTTACAAGTTTAAAAGCACCAGTAATATACTCAATATTTGAATTTCTTGCTGCCCTATATCGTTACATTTTTATTTACGTCTCTGTAGCTTCATTGTGACGTCACTTTAGCGCGAGTTTTACTGTGTATATTTCTACGCGTGAGTATACACAAAAATGACTTTCAAATCAATTGCACAGTTGGCTTAGCAGAAAAACACAGCAAATGTAAACAGTAACGTTCAACGCATTATATGTAAGTATAATATTTTATTATATGATTGAATAACTCCCATCTCTCTGATTGGCTGAAATCCAACAATGTTAGAAAAATACTATGTTATATTGACCAGCACATGACCTTCCAGGTCAATACAAGGAATTCTTTATTCTATATTGGACCAAAAATAGATAGGGGAATTCCAAATTGATGCAAATAGTTTTGGAAAGTTATTTCACTTGCACCTGACTTCCACTCATATGAACATAGCATTAAGGCACATAACTTCTTGGGTGAGGTTTGGGGGGGGGGGGGGGGTTGCAGGAGGCCTGCCCCTCTCCCTAACTTTTGAGAATGGAAAGTTTTAAATTAAATTTTAATGATAGAAAATTTCAATGAAACCTTTCCTCCCCTCTTTTATGGATCTTTACATCCCACCAAATAAAATTTTGAGCTGGGAGAATTCTTTACCTTGGGGGGCAGGGGGTAGGGGGTGGAGGGGCTAGTCAAAGATTTGTTTTTAGGTAAGTTGTCATTATCATTTTTTCCCCTTTCAATGCCCCTTTTTCAAAATTAATCCTGTATATATATGCCTGACATTTATTTTTTTTCTACATTGCACCTAAACTAGAATTGAAAATTCCAAAATAATACAACTGGTTTTTAAACCCGTTTCTCTCATTATGTTCGGCTAGTACTTCAGTAGATGTGAACAAGTAAGATGGCATGGATTGCTTAATGAGAGTGTGTCATTTAATCATTGAATCATATAATAAAACAATTATTGCTGTTTTTTCGGTCAATACGATGATTTAGCCACCTTCGAAGTACAATATTCACCTCGCCTAAAAACCAGCAATAATTGTATAATATTGAAGAAAATACTGCATATACGCAAGGGATGTTGAATAGTAACTTTTGTAAAAGGTAACGCTTGTTATCAAAATATCAGATTGTTGTCTATTTTTCCCTAAATTTTGGATTTATTCAGTTTGAAAATCAGTTACACACAGAGCCATACAGCTATCCAGCCTTAGATATAGGAAGGTTCAGTTTAAATATTGTTTGCAATTTGCACATAGAAAAAAAGGTAACGCTTGTTAATTATACATGTAAATCTTATGACAGTTGAAAGAATCAGATTGATAACCGCCTTCTGGATAAATAAAACAACCATACAGTAAAAGATTGAATAATACCTATAATATAGTAATGTTAAATTGAAAACTATTATGAATGAATAATCGTTTCTACCTAAATTCTTATCGGATGATAATTTATTGTAAACGCTTAATTGATAATGCTTTCTAAGCGACCAGATTTTATAAATCTTTTATAAGAAGGAAATTGAAAAATGATGTTTACTTTTGTCTCTGTAAATAGGGGGTTGAATTATGTTAATGATTCTTTTGTATTCAGTTTTCTTATACAAGCTTCTATATCGAAAAAAAATGGTCTAATCCACGCCCGTGGGAAGCAATTTCAGTTTGTTGGGGGGGGGGGCAACTATACATTTTCAGTTGGGGGGGGGGCACTATCAACTACCAAAATTCCTTAAGAAGCAAAAAAAAAAAAAAAAAAAAAAAAAAAAAAAAAAAAAAACGTTTTTATTGAGGGGACACAAGCATAAAGTAGCTATGTTTTCTATAGTAATCTATATATCGGCAAAATTAAAAAAAAAAAAAATCAGACGTTTTTATTGAGGGGACAAGCAAATAGTAGCTATGATTTCTATAGTAATCTATATATCGGCAAAACTAAGTGCCCCCCCCCCCGGTTCCTACGGTCATGTTATCGCAAAACATGTCTAATTTTATCCCATTTTCACAAGAGAAAATAGTCTAAACACAAGCGACAATGATATTTCAATTTGGAGTCAGGTAATTCTCAAGAAATTACACCTAAAATTTTGTAAACATATTCTAAGCTTGAAAACATCAACACCAAACTTTATGGTGTACGGAGAACTTGGTAGACACCCTTTATTAATTGATATCAAAGTTAGAATGATCTCATTTTGGGGTAAACTTATTAATGCTCAGAGCTCTAAATTGTCTGCAAAACTTTTATGTGCATTGAAAATATGTAAGAATCCATGGTGTGATTTTGTTCAGAAAATTTTAAATGAATGTGGATTGACTTATGTGTGGTATGAAAATTCAATTAATATATCTTGGCTAAAAAATAAGGTATATACCACTCTCTTAGATCAGTTTAAGCAAACATGGTTTAGTGATGTACAAACTTCCCCTAAAGGTTTGAACTATAGAATTTTTAAAAAATCATTAATCTTTGAAGACTATTTGTTGAATTTGCCTCCTAAACAATCCAAGAAATATTGTTTATTTAGAACTGGGAATACAAAATTACCAATTGAGACTGGTAGATGGTTTAACATCCCTAGAGAAAATAGAATTTGTAAATTATGTAACAGCAACGAAATTGGGGATGAATTTCATTATTTATTTAAATGTACTGATGTGTCTATAAAGAACTCAAGAGTTATGTATTTGTCAAAGTATTTTCATTTGAATCCAAATGTTTTGAAATTTGAAATGCTTTTTAATGTAACCAATACTAATCAACTTAGCAAAATTTGTAAATTGCTAGATATTATAATTGAGAGAGTTGGCTCTCTTGGTTGACATACTCTGTTACCCCTTCTTCAGGCATGTAATATTTTCTGTTTATTATACTGTACATATCTTCTCTTCACTGTTTTGTCAGTTATGAGAATAAAGTTCAAGTTCAAGTTCAAGGTAAATGAGAATGACATTGTGACAATGATTTTGTTGAAATTTCTTGTTTCAAAGTGGCAGTAGTAACATATAAAAAGAAGGTATGGAAGCATTATATCATGTATCGAGAACTGAAAGAAAAAATAGAATTTATTTCAGAACTTTTCAATTAAGAACGCACCTAATTTACCAACGACTCGTACAATGAAAATACTGTCCCGCACAACGACACATACAGTAAATATTGAACGACGGATACAGTCGCATTTTGATTAAAGCAGTAAAATTAAGGATATTCTAATTATAATTAGGAATAAATTACGTTTCAATACCCCAATACTTATATTTCTCATTATTTGATACAATTCTTATCGAAAATGGGATGAACGCCAATGCCATAATATATCTTTTTAAGTCTTTGCACAACTACACTGCACTGCGTTTTGCATTGCGTTAAAAAACAAAGCTGCATTTTGACAAAACTGTGTTTCCTAGAGAACGTTTCATCATATATCTATGCGTTTTAATGCACAACACATTTAAATACTTAACATGTCTTCGAATAATTGCCGTCTTAATTTCATAATCCCATGACTGCATCAAGTTGTCAACCAAGAAACGCAACAACTTCCGGTTTTTTTAGTATGTGGGTTAGATACTGTGGTATTGGTCGCTGCTCAAGTCACTTTTCGAACAAGCACACACTGTCGCTAAAATTACTACCAAAAGTAAATTCCAAACTTTGACAACTTGTGAAAGCACCATCATCATGTGGATTCTAGATCAACATTTGTTGATCACTGGTCTAAAAAGCAAAATTATCTACAAACTTCACTAACTACCACAGATTGTATTATCTAAACGGCCCGTGTATAGCCATTCACTGCATGTTTAACCAGTGTGAAAAGCGTGTCGTTGACCCAGAGGCTCTATTTTGGCAATGCTGTGCTCAGGTTTAACTCCCTCGTCATTATTCAACTTAGGTATAAAGTATTTGAAAGTTTTGCCCTATTTAGGACATACAAGTGAATTTAGAGTATGAGAAAATAAGAAACAACAAAAACAAAACGGATTGGTTCATTTTTATTGTGCTACTCATTTTCAACGGACACGAGGAAAACAATTTTTAATTTTTTTAAACCGAGGGGAGTTATTCTCAGACAGTAGTAAATACAACAGCCGAAAAGTTTTGGAAAATATGAACAGTGACACATTTTAAAGAAGTTAGACTGAATTTCTAAGACCATGTAGACTTGAGAAATGGATAGTCTTCGTGAATCAAAATGAGGATGACCTTATGATAGGTGATAGAGGTGAGAGTTTATGTGCTATACTGTTATGTTTTAACAGGTGCGTGTTTGGGACATTAAAATACTGTTGGGACCTTTGGTGTCAACTTCTGTCGCGTGCTGTGACATCGCAGTTTCATAGAACCGCGTGTTTTGTTGAAGAAGATTTCGTTAAGAAATATATTTTTGTATATAAAAATAAGTATTTTTGCCTTGTACTACCTTGCATGATCAATGCACATGGTGGTTTAATGTTTTACCGTAATTCCCCAAATGAGCGCGCCTCCTGTAAATCGCTAAATGTTGCACGTTGGGTTTGTCTGTCTGTTCGTTTGTCAATAACTCTGTCACAGTTAGTTTCCGAATATCACAGGTGTAAGGATCATTTAACTCAAACATTGGTCACTGGCTAGGTCTCTACATGTATAGAATTATTTTTTTTGTTGTTGTTGTTGTCTCTAAATGTAGAATTTTTTTTAAACAAGGAGTCTCCATATGAGAAAGGTGCAAACACTTTGATTTGTCAATTAGTTATTTACTATTTGGATAAGAATAAGGATGGTAACAATTTTAAGGGTCAAGACTATTGTTTCAAAACTAGGAATATTATTTTCATAATTTGTTTGGTTTGGCATCATTTGCATAAAACTTCATGGTTGATGCATCTAGGGATGCAACTACTAGACATGCTTTGGATGCTAGATCTGACCTACATTTTTCCATATGAGAGACCACATTAAAATTTTAGGAGCTAGTCCATTTCCAACTAACAAGAAAATCTACCTGGACCAAACTTAAGTTGATTTGCATCTAATGATGCACATTACCAAATATTCCTTGGCTTCTGAATCTGACCTGCATTTTCTGGATGATTGAAGTTTAAAGTTCTTGCAGCAAGATCATTCCAATTTAACTATAAGCTGTACCTGGACCAAAGTTGCAAGAATGATGCATTTAGGGATGTACTGTCAGATATGCAACATTTTCCTGATGAGTGACCAGGTTTAAGTTTTTCGGAGCAAGTCCTTTTCCAGTTTACTACATTGTATAAGCCTTAAAGTGGCTAAATTAGCATAAGTGATGCATATCCGAATGCACACTATCAGAGAATTCATTTGATATGTGACTTTGCATTATTTATAGATATATTTGTTTTAGGTAAGTTTTGGAATACCTTTGTTCATATTTTTTTTTGTTTTCCAATCATTCGGGATCTAAAAATATCATAGTTAATAATCTGTTCATCAATATCAAATTGATGGCAAAACAATTTTGTGAAATCAGTCCTTTTCTTAAAGATAAAATATATAAGTCTCATAGCCTTACACTTTTTAGCTCACCTGAGCTGAAGGCCCAAATGAGCTTTTCTGAGAAAAATTTGTCCGTTGTATGTCACCATCATTATCATTGTTGTCGTCGTTGTCTTAACTAAACATTTTCATCTTCTTCTCCAGAACCACTGGGCCAATTTCAACCAAACTTGCCACAATTAAAGTATCTTATGGTGGAAGGAATTCAAGTTTGTTCAATGAAGGGCCATGCCCCTTTTCAAGGGGAGATAATTTAGAATTAGTGAAAATATATTTAATATTCAAATATCTTTTTTCTCATATAGGTGATCAAAGTTTACACATGTACTAGGAATACATAGAAAAAAGTCTTATTTTATTCTCAAGAACAGCAAAGGCATGATTAGTCATTGTAATATGAAAGCATCCTCAGATAGTGTAGATTCAAGTTTGTTCAAATCATGACCCTCTGGAATAGGGTTGGGCCACAACAGTGATTAAATTTTTACAAGGAATATATAGTAAAACAATTGATGTAGAAACGCAATGCCGTAGTGACTCAGGTGAGTGTTGTGGCCCGTGGGCCTTGTTATTTTTTATGAGAGCCACTAATTTCGTCTTACCATCTAAAAGAAACAAATCCACTGCAGTGGTTAAGCCAACCCAAGAATGCTTTGATTTAATTTTTTGCGTGCTTTCTCTAACAAGTGGTGTTTTGTGAGTGGTGCTATCAGTGAAGGTGTGGTGATGTAAGAAAACACCTGGATGATAAGATTGAGGGTAAAGGTCACACATGATTACACACAGCTTCTGTGTACTCGGTTTCATATTTTTTTAGGAATATGACCCTATGCCCACTAACATTTGAGTTCCTGCAATGATGAAAATTTTTATCAGAAGTTTACAAATGAAATGAAATTCAAGTTAATTTAGTATACCATACATGGCAAAATTTGTAACACATCAATGGTAAAAATGAATTTTAACAAGTGACCTATCAATTTAATTACGTATTCACATATTAAATTTATTTTTTTTTTTTTTTGCATTACTTTTGTGCATCTTCCTCCATGATTAAATTTTCAGATGTGGAGAACCCTGTCTTGTATTCCTTGTTATTTTATCGGTAAAATAAGTCAAATTTTGGTAGAACTAACTCCCCAATTTTACATGGCTTTTATTTCAATAATAATATGTAGTACTCCATCTGGCAAAATGTGTACTGGCAAAATATGTACCTGTAGAGAAATGTCTTGACAAAAGTTTTAACCTTACTAAAATAGTGTCCCGGCAAAACAAGCAAAATAATTTAGTGCTCCCAGACCCTATATTTTAATAATAAAAAAAAAAAAGACGAAATATCGTCATTTTGTCTTCTTTTCTATTTTGTATTAAATTGAAAAATAACTTTTCCACTCTCATTTTGCTTGTGAATTTTGCATGCAATCATTTTAACTCTGTTGTTGTCAACTTTATTTGAGAAATAAAGTTTTTTTTACAATATGTTCTGTCCTTTTTTCAGTTGGCGGATCTAACATTTTTCAATTGAGGTAATTTAGTATTCTAAAAAACTCTAGATTTTTATGACTGTTTTTCGTCATTTTCTTAAAAATGACAAGTTTTAGTCCTAACAAAAAATTAGCTTTATGACTATGGTAGTAATCATTTTCGGAATGACGGACTCTGACCATTGTTATTAAGATGGCAAAATGCAGCAGACAGGAAAGCAAAAAAGGGTAAAGCCTAAGACTCTGGAATACTTGTTGGATAAAAAACATATTCAATTAAAAAACATGGGAGATCCTATATTTATGAAAAGATGTCTTGAAAAAAAAATACTGTGTCATTTAGATTCTTAACCCTTCTTTGATCTCATTTATTTAAACATTTATATATCAAAACCAAATTTGGAACTGTTGTTAATGCTGTAAGGGACAATCAAATTTAGGGGGCAGGAGGAATTAATTTGATTTTTTGAATATTATACAAATTCTCTGGTATAGGTACAAGAACTGCTTTTGAATACTGTGTTCTATTGAGAGACACCTGTCCTTGACCTTACTGATAAAGTCTTAGTGAATCATTCTCCTTAGTTCACCTGGCCACTGCAGTGAGTGGCATAATGGTGAAATTAAGTCATCAATCACCGAGCGTCACAAATACTTATGTACACAGGTAGATTACTGTGGCCACCCTTATCAGGGGTAAAGACAATATTTGTGGTCTGACCCGCAGTGTTCCCCATCTCCCTATGTGTTAAGTGGTGATTATTCCCCGCTTTCAAGCTACAGGCAACCTAAGCCTAAGGTTTGAGCCAACATGACAGGTTCACTACATGTAAAGTAGAATTACTATGTATTTTGATATGGAGTAGATTATAGGTTTTCCTCCTTATTTTAGTTATTGTAAATGGCCAAGCTGGTCCAGCATTGTCTGGAATTTAAGGCCAAGCAGTCTTATTGCTTTGTTTTGACTGCAGGTAATATAAATCTGAAATATAAAAGAATTGATTTAATTGATGACTTTGATTTTTGAAATGATTTAAGATTTGGCAAGTTGACAGACTTACATGAAAATGTTAGAAAAATTGGACATGCAACACAACCATTACTTAAGTTGGTACATTAATAGGAAACTTTTAGCATAGAGTCATCGGTATCTTGTATGCTCTTAAAATCAGCAGTATCTTGTACAAAACACAATAAATGCTCAGTCTACTTTAAACACTGTTATATGGTGTGGATGTTACAGGCCAGGGGGGCTATTGTGAAGACTTCCTTAGTCAGTCTAGGTGGGGTAGAGTCGGGTTAAGTCTGGGTACGTGTTTGCTGCCAGTAAAAGTTGAAGTTGGGCTCTGTGGCTTGTCAGAGAGGGATTGAAAGGCTCGTTATCAGACCTGTGGGGGTAAATCTTTGCTAAAGACACTGTACACATTGCTGGAACCATCAGGATCAAACAGGAATTATTTCTCTGCACTTACACATGTAATATATATAGCAGTGAATCTTTGTTAAAAAAAAAAGGGGAGAAAAACAGACTGAAATTGTATTGTTTTGTTCCATATCTTAATATGATGTCCCTGCTTTCAATAGTAATTGTTTAAATAGATTGCAATTTTGTTAGAAAAGAAAAAACTTTTCACATGTTTATACTGTCACTTTTTTTGCTTAAAATTATCTTCTTTTTGTTTTAGCCTGAAAATCATGCTTAAAACATGAAGTTAGTAAGCATTGTGTTGCTATGGCATGTGATGTGTTGCTATGGAGATGGTATGCAGCACCTAGTGTTACTGGACAACCTTCCACCTGCCTTCCAGCGGAATGTCACACCCGATCTTATTGTCACCACTAATTTCAGTGTATGTATCAAATTCTAGGCATGTGTAGACATGTAGCTGTAATGTTCTGTTTATGCTGAATGATCATCATAATGCAACAGTCAAAGAGAAATAGTTAAAATCTAGTCATCAAAACCTTATCTTATCAATAAGCTACTACAGTCAAACTTCATTATCTTAAAGTTGATGGGACAGAAAAAAAACTTTGAGATATATATCTGAAGGTTCAAGATACTGAGGGTAAAGTTTATAAAGAAAATGTGGTTGGTGCTTCCAACTCTCTGTGACATATTCATTGAATTTAAGATATCGATCAAAGACCAACAGCAAATGCAGTGAGGGTTCATATTAGGACAGATAAGGTACTGATATTAATACAGTAAACAGAACAATAGGTTTACATGGTTAATTTCTATTTAGGTTAATTCTCTGCTTATAATGTTGTTGATTTTCATATTGACAAAATGTTAAGCTATTTGTTGCATAAACTCTCAATTCTAGTGGCTATTTGGTTGTAAACATATTGATGTTAGACAATCTAAAGATAAATTAATTTGCAAAATGTTTAATAATATCTTTCTTTTTTTTTTACTTTAAATGAGCAAAATAATCAATGAAATTATTTTGTAAATCTGCCAATTATTTGCATGCATTGTGACATTGGACCCCAGCAAGCCTTGTCAATCTGTCCTCAGTTGCAAGTTCAGCAAATCATCAATCTACATGTATAGTGCAGTGATGCACACAACAACATAATGTCCCCTATTTTTCTACCAGAGGGCGAGACATTCACTCATAAAAATTGATCAAAGCACATCTACATAAGTAGGACACAATATGTGTGGCATAGACTCAGATAAGTAAGAAGATGTGTGTACATTCACACAAAATAAGACTCCTAAGCCTTCTGTGTTAGGGGCATTTTCCTTACAAATGACCAATGATTTTAGAGAGAAACCTCCAGCATTCCATTTGTCATTCTCATCTATAAAGAGGTGCTTAGTAATAAACTTTATAAGGTTTTAGCATTGCCATGTATATAGTACAACATTCTTTAGGCCAAAAAAATAATAGTCTTGTTTCCTGCTTCCAGCCTGAAAAAAATAAGGTAGATAGGTAGGAAAATTATTTTATTTTATTTTTTTATTTTATTTTTTTCCGACAGCATTTTTTTTGGATATGAACTAATACATGATCAAATTAAACATCTCACAGGTCAACACAGGGTAGGTCGGGTCATCTGTGTATATTAGAAGGAACATAGTGCAAAGTCTCCTTCAGGATTCAGAAAGGTTTCCTTATACCTAAATTTCTATGAAGCCAGTTCTTTATAACCAAAGTATTACAGTGCCTGCTCACTGAATTTTTATAAAGATAATTTTGTTCTTTTTCCTTAAATGCTACCTTCACATATCTTGTGTGGAAAAAAACCTGCCAAAAATGATCTCAGACAAAATTCCCTTTCAGTGGATGTGCCAAATGTCTCCTGCTTCATTCATTCAAGTCATATTTTATATATACGTCTAGCAACCTTAAAATGTATTGAAATGTACTACCGTAGTAGAAAGAGGTTACAAGAGTAAAGAAATTTTTGCAAGAAATTATATTGTACATGTTATATTGGTCAGAGTTTTATTTGAGTTTTTGTTCAGTTTAAGTAGTTGTTCACATTTTGTGCTCCAATATATTTTTTCCCCTCCTTGTTGATACAGAGAGCTAATAGGCAAAGAATATACTGGCATGATTTCTTGGGCTATTGGTAGAGTACCTTTGCTGCACAGTACATACTGAAGTGGTCAATAATTTTATCTTTCAACATGTTCAAGGTGCTTTTTTGTGCTGATAATACCAGATAATACTGTGTAATGTATAAGCACCATAACAAGTATGCAGTGTATGAAGTCTGGCCTGTTACCTCAGGTTAATCCTTGAGGAACATCTGTATATGTTGAAACTTATCTTGGGTGGTATATTTTGTCAATATGTGGAATTACGGATTATCGTGTAAAATAGACATGAAGATCTTTTTAAAAATGTTACAATTTCATGAGTTCCTTGAAAGGTATTAATTGCTAAACCTTAACACCGTTGTACGTGTTGTAAATCAGGAGATAGAAAACTAGATATACCAATATCAAGGACCAAGACCAACAAATAAAATTAATTATTTTTTTTTTACATATTTTTATGCGTATGTACCAGGTAGTATGTTTTTTTACACCCCAGGGAACAATTTCACTCTCAGGGGATTTCATGCAACCATAATTTTTTTTTTATCAGGTTTTTCGAAAATTGTAAAAATGTTAAAAGTATTTTAATATATATTAGAAAAAAAAATTAGAATGTTTTTTAATTATTTTAATCTAGATCTAAACTTTAAATATTACTATCTTCAAATATTTAGCAAAAAACATTCTTTACAAATTGATTCAGGGAGGAAATTTTGCTTTCATATACATGTTCAAGGATTTTGGTCAGCTATTTTAATTAAGTGGACTTTGTACAAATTGGTTTACGTAGACACCACCTGAGTGAATTTAGTGAACAAAACCGCAAACGTAAGAAGCTCTTTACTTAAACAAGAACTTATGTTGACTTAACCAGGCACAATAGATAACCACAGTCAATATTGGTAGTTCTCCAATATAAAAGGTGAAATAAATCTGGAAGGCAGTGATATAAAAACGGTTTGTTATTGTAAGTTTACTCGATGCAGGCCCCATGAGAGCGCTTGAAGGACATGTATTAAGAAACAAGACTGTATAGGTATAAGAGGGGGATTTTTGTGTGTGCATTGTAATAAAATCTGAAAATCAAAAATGAACAGAAAAAAAGATTTCAAAACATGCTAGGACTTGACAGCCATGAAATGAAGTTAAGAAAGAAAATGTTTATTTTAAACCTCAAAAATGTTATCATTTTCTTGGTACTGAATTAAGCTGTTTGAACTTAAAATCACACAAATATGCATATCAAAACTTTGATTTTTCAACTTGTTTATTAAATAAAATAAAAAAATTAAAATAAAAATCCCACCTGCGAAATTTTGTGTGTTTTGTCATTGTGTGTACGTGGGTATAGACATGTTATCATGTTGGATGAGCAGTTTAACATGTCACTTAAAAATCAATGGTATATTGGTATACATAGAATTGAATAGAATTCAACAATCAATGAAAAGATGCAAAGAAATATTGAATGTATTTATTAATATTTAATGTCCATAATATTTCCCCCCTGGTATGTGTATTATGTATTGACAACATTTTCAGTTGACCCTCTTAGAAGTATTTATTGCTTGAACAGATGGTGGTGTGGTTTTTGATTGGCTGAAATCGCCAAATCTAGGGGAAATGATTGGCTGAAATCGCCAAATCTAGGGGAAATGATTGGCTGATATCGCCAAATCTAGGGGAAAAAAATAACATCATGTTCATCATGTTTTACCAGCATCCCAAGCTGAGTTGGTTTATTTGCTCAATCTGTGAAAATGTTCTTTTCAAGTGATTAATACTGACTTCAAAAAAGGCAATAAGTACAGACTTTTGTGTCTTAAAGCTATGGAAAAAAAGAGCAATTAAAATGGGCTTTACTTGTATTAAGGAACAGGAGAAACTGATATGACTGTCAAAACTGCAGTTTTTGTTTAATTTTTGAATCCTTATCATTAAGTTAGACTCTGGAACTGAAAGGGTGACTTTTTTTTTTTGAAAATTCTGTTTGTTTTCCACAACCTTAAAATTTAAATTTTTACAAGTTAGATACAGTATGTTTGTGCTCTGTACTTAAAGGGACTAATGTTGGGTAACATTCTTGGATTATAGATCTGCTGAACCTAATTTCAAGATACATTGATTTCTAAATTTTTAAAATGTAAAATTGTAAAAATGAAAACTTTAATTATTGCTTTGTATTAATTGGTATTATTGCTATTTGTTTAAGGGAAAATGTATGTTCTTTATTCGTACTTTTAAACAAGTGCCATGTAAAAATGGACGACAAGAGAACGGTGTCTTCTACCTATTCCCACTCTTTAAAAATCTCAATTCCACCTATTCCCACTTGCAAATAACAATAGATGTTTTGATAATAATTTATGTTTTTACAGTAACTAGACTAATTACATCTTAGATTTAGATTTACCTGTATTTTGTAAATTTTAAGACAGAAAATAAATAGAATTATGAAAGAATGATTTGTATATGGATTTTAGAAAATGAAAAAAAAAAACAGAGCTACAAAAATCCACTTTATAATCTTGATTTTAGAACATAAAATAAAAAGATTTATGAAAAAATGTATTTAAATAGCTGAATTTTAGAAAATACAATAAATATATTAACAGGAAAAAAATGATTTACCAGTAATTCACTTAAAAAATTCCAATTCTCCCTTCAAATATTAGTAAAAAGTCTGATTTATAATTTTAAAAAGCCAATTTACCTGTCCTCTATTCCAACATGTGTTCATTAATCACTGTTTATACAGTAGTTATATGTTTATATAGTTAATTATTTGTTTACATAAAAAATTCCACCTATTCCCACATAAAATCTTACCTTTTCCTACCTGATTTTCAAAAAGTGGGAATAGGTAGTATAAACCCAAGAAATCATAGACTGTCACTTGTAAATGAGACAGTTGCTATGGCATCACCAAAAAAGGAGTTGATTAAAATATAAATACTAGTCGATGTGTTCGTGCTTTGCATATAGATAAGTATATGTACTGTTAGAATGACACAAAAATAAGATGAAGGTATAGTTTTCAGGGACTTTGCTTTCCCATTATCGCTGTGACTTAATAGAACATGCTGTGTTCATTTTTCTTTTGAAATTATGATGGTGAGGAAACATTGACAAAAATCATAATGACAGATACTGTAAACCAACTATTATTTGCAACAACTTTTATTTGGGATTCGTTAGTTTACAATCCATCCTCAACAATTAATTTTTGCAACTGAGGTATAATGTTCTACATAAATACACAATCATAATAATGCTTCGCAATGAGAAATA